TAGAACAAAGGTTAAACTCAATTGGCACATTCCGGTCATGGTCAGTGTAAAGGGGTCCACTTGCGAGCCAGGTAAGGATCTGAGAGAGGCGCCTCCTGGTCTGCTCATTGCCGGATGTATGCATATTATCACTTCCTGGTACATACTGTGTGCTGCCTGGGTGAGGCAGTCCCTGGGTCAGGGACTTTGCAGAGTTGCCTCACTGAGCCCACCACCAACTCGAACTTTCCAGAGGAGAATCAGAGGTTTAAAATGAGATGGCAGGGGAGTGGGTGGTAAAGTTGAAAAAAAAAAAAAAAAGAAAAGAAAACAGAGACAGAGAGCAGTGGTTGCATGGGGCTGGGATGGGAGCAGGGACTGACAGCAAACCGGCATGAGGGAACCTTCTAGAATAATGAAAGTGTCCTAAAAATGGACTGTGGCCATGCTCGCAGGGCTGTATAAATTTGCTGAAACTCACAGAAAGTATACAATTATAACAGATGAACTGTAGGACATGTAAAGGTATGCCTCCATAGAGCTGTTTTAAAAAGTGGTGATTGCACCCATTTTTTAAAAAAATCTATAAAATCAAGTGCTCCTGCATGGCTCAGTCAGTTAAGCATCCAACTGATTTCGGCTCAGGTCATGATCTTATGGCTCGTGGGTTTGAGCCCTGTGTCGGGCTCTGTGCTGACAATGTGGAGCTTGCTCTCTCTCTCAAAAGTAATAAAAACATTTTTTAAAATCCATAAAATGAAAACTGGTCTTTTTTTTTTTTAACTTTTTAATGTTTATTTATTTTTGAGAGCCAGAGCATGAGCAGGGGAAGGGCAGAGAGAGGAGACACAGAATCTGAAGCAGGCTCCAATCTCTGAGCTGTCAGCACCGAGCCCGATGTGGGGCTCGAACTCACAAACCGCAAAATCATGATCTGAGCCGAAGTCGATGCTTAACCAACTGAGCTACCCAGGTGCCCCTAAAGGTGGTCTTTTAGAAACGTGATGACTCTGTCGCTTGGCCCTCTATCACACGTCTTTCTCCCAGTTCCAACAAGAAGAGTGAGTTCTAGGCTTCTCCTTCTCCCTCTCTGCCTCAACTGAAACCCGCCTATCTGCCTCCCAGCTCCTGGAACAGATGCTCTTAAAGCTTCCAGGAGAAGGTGGCGGCCCCCTTTCTCTCCGCCGCCACCCAACTCCAGACCAGGCCAGCAGAGTGGGGGGGCGTCTGTCAACACATGGCAAACCTTGGAGCCCCACTGCCAGCAATGGCCTCAAACCCTCCCAACCCCCATCCTTTGAGTGACACATGGTCACATGTGCCTCTCAATTCCTGTCACCCCCAAAGTCCCCAGGGGGCCGTGAACTTCGCCAGCAATCTATTTCAACAGCCACGGTTCCACCTGAGGTCTTCCTCCTCCACATGCTCAGACCTGTCCTGAAAGAAACCCTCCTCCAACCCCAGTTCCTCCTGTAGTGGCTCATTCCATTCCCCTTGACAAGCCTGTCCCCGAGTGCTGTTTGCACTTCCAGACCTCTCCCTCTCTCCTCCGCCCGGACACTGCAGGCACTTGCCCTGGCGAGGCCTTACCTCCCCCCTCTCCCCTGCAACTGGCTGAGGGCACCAGATACAGACCTTCCACCCACCTCGCCTCAGACGAACCCCCTCGAGGCCATCCAGTAATCCCACCCCAAAATGGAAATCAGAGAAACCCAGTCTGTCAAGACAAAATATGATTTAAATAACCATCATCACGCACACAGCAAAGCACTCAGCAGTTATTTAAATTGTGCCTGGTGTCCCCGTCCTTCCGCAACAAAAGGAATTTGTGGGAACAAGCGCTGTGTCAATCCAAGAAGGTAAACCTCCATCAAAACATAGGTTGAGGGGCGCCTGGGTGGCGCAGTCGGTTAAGCGTCCGACTTCAGCCAGGTCACGATCTCGCGGTCCGTGAGTTCGAGCCCCGCATCAGGCTCTGGGCTGATGGCCCATAGCCTGGAGCCTGTTTCCGATTCTGTGTCTCCCTCTCTCTCTGCCCCTTCCCCATTCATGCTCTGTCTCTCTCTGTCCCAAAAAAAAAATAAATAAACGTTGAAAAAAAAAAAATTAAAAAAAAAAAAACATAGGTTGAAAAGTCTGTGTAGGTTCTAGGAGGAAAGTTCTTTCAAATGCTCTTTTAATGATTAGTCTCCAAAGCCAAGAAGGCCAATGTTGGCAGCGGCTGAGGACAGAACCAGGCCAGTAGTGCTAAGTGCTGAGTTCAGCGATGACTCAGCGCTCGCGTTTCCTCCGCTCGGCCTCTGTCCTCTTTACTCAAGGATGAGTGTTTTTCACTCTTTCTTTTGGGAAGCAAGTGCTTCCCTTCATTCTGTTTCGATATTATTTTACCAGGGGAAACTAGCACCCTTCAACAACAACAACAACAAAAAGCAGAAAGGGTTTTCTCAGAGGAAAGGGTCATTGGAACCCTATACTTTATAATATTTAACCAATAATATTCTTTCTAAGTGGGTTGTACAAAAACCAGCGTGGCAAGGGGTGCTTGGGTGGTTCCGTCGGTTTTAAACATCTGACTCTTGATTTTGATTCAGGTTATGATCTCATGGTTCAGGAGTTCAAGGCCCTCATCAGGCTCCATAGCATGCAGCCTGCTTGGGATTCCCTCTGATTTCCCTCTCCGTCTCTCTCTTTCTCTCTCTCAAAATTAAATAAGTAACATTTAAGGGGCGCCTGGGTGGCTCAGTCGGTTAAGTGTCTGACTTCAAACTTACATCTGAATGTGATCTCAGAACAGTTTGAGCCTGGGACCTTCCTCTCTCTCTCTCTGTCCCTTCCCCACATGTGTGTGTGCGCTCTCTCTGTCTCTCTCTCTCAAAATGAATAAAACTAAAAAAAAAAAAAAAAAAAAGGCTGACTGATGAATCATCCTGTTCACCATCGGTGACCTGTATTTAACACCTTATCTTTCTCCTGCCTGGGAGAGGGAGGAGAAAATTGAGAGACGGATCAGCCATTTACTCAGGTTGCTCCTCCGTAAATAGGTCAGGTCTGTGGTTAAGTACTAAGATGTTAAAAGGGATCATCTTGCCATGACAACAACGTTTCAGTCAAGCCAAATTTCTTGTTCGGCAAACACACAAAAACATTCACGAAACAGGTCATTCAATAATCATCACGTTCCGGAGCTGGTAGGGAGGTCTTCTAAACCAATGCCCTGCCTAACAGATATGAAAACAGACAGCCCCGGAGGGTAACGCGCGAGCAGCGCTGCCCAGGCCGTGGGTGCACAGACTCCAGGCCTGTGTGCTGTCCTGTACAGCAACTCCCGGGGCAACCGAACACTTCAAGTACGGCCCGTCCAAACTGCATAGATCGTGAATGTAAATGCATACCAGATTTTGATGATATAGTGTAAGAAAAAAAAAAAGGTAAAATATCTCATCATTAACTTTTTATATTGATTACAGTGAAATGATAGTTTGCATATATTGGGATAAATAAGATGTAGCAAAGTTACTTTCATCTGTTTCTTTTTATTTCTCAAAAATGTGGTTGGGGCACTCGGGTGGCTTAGTCGGTTAAGCATCTGACTTCGGCTCAGGTCATGATCTCACGGTTCGTGAGTTCGAGCCCCACATCGGCTCTCTGCTGTCTGTGTAGGGCCCGTGTCTGAGCCTCTGTCCCCCTGTCTCTCTAGCCCTCCAGCATGCACATGCTCTCTCTCTCTCTCAAAAATAAACGTTAAAAAAAAAAATGTGGCTACTAGAAATTTTACCACAACACACGTGGCCCTCCTACTAGACGGCGCTGTTCAGAGCTAGTCAGCCCAGGTTTGATCCAGGCTCAACCACCTGCCGTCAGTGCCTCACTGGGTGGAGGACTGACTTTCTATGCCTCAGTCCTCTCGTTCACAAAGAGGAAACAAGAACTGGGCCTACTGTGCATTGCTCCACAACGACGGGGTGAGATGAGTTCACTTGTGGAAGCTCTCTTAGACGAGAAGCCAGCACAACCTGCATCCTGTTTCTGAGAATTGACAGATTAACTGATGGTTTAAGCAACAACTTTACCGAACTCTAATTCACATAAAAGTCAGCTTTATAAAGTATACAACCCATGGTGAGCCACAGTCGGTTAAGCATCTGACTTGGGCTCAGGTCATGATCTCCTGGTTCACCGGTTCAAGCCCCGCGGTTGGGCTCTGTGCTCACAGTTCAGAGCCTGGAGGCTGCTTCGGATTCTGTGTCTCCCTCTCTCTCTGCCCCTCCCCTGATCATGTTCTATCTCTCCCTCTCAAAAATAAATAAACATTAAAAACAAAACAAAACAAAATATACAACCCAGTGGTATCCAGGATATTCACAAAGTTGTGTAACCACCACCCTCTCGAATTCCAGAACATTCTTATTACCCCAGAGTCACTCCCCATTCCCCCCTCCACCCAGACCTTGGCAACCACTGATCAATTTTCCATCTCTACAGATTTCCCTATGCTGGCCTTTCATATCAGTGGGATCCTATGTGGTCCTTTGTGACTGGCTTCTTTCACTCAGCATGTTTTTATGGTTCATCCACGCTGAAGCCTGCTTCAGTACTTCATTCCTTTTTGTGGCCAAATAATACCCCTTGTATGGACGTACCACATTTGTTTATCCACTCGTCAGTTGATGGACATTTGGACTGTTCCCACTTTTTCACCAGCATGAACAATACTGCCATGAACATTCATGTACAAGCATCTGTGTGGACATATGTGTTCATTTCTCTGGATGCATACCTAGGAATGGAACTGCTGTGCCATGTGGTGACTCAATGTCTCACCTTTTGGGGAACTGCCAGTGATCCAAAATGGCTGCACCATTTTACGAGCCCCCCATTTCTCCACATCCTTGCCAACACACATGCTTTGGCCAGCCTTTGGGAGTGTGAATGACTTTTTAAAAAGTCTGTTCTATTGACAATGTGCAGGATTGTTTACAGAATACCAGGGTCATACAGAAAAGCATTAGTCATGGTCTTACCTGGTGCCTATAATTATACCAGCCATTTGAACCTGCGACAATCACCACCCAGTGCTTGCCCCCATCCTCGGGATCATCCATGGGAACAGCACCGATTCCCAGGACCACGCTGAGCAACACAGCTCCTTCCCAAATCATTCTGTGCCTCAGAGTTCAACGGCAGGAACCTGGGGAGAAAAAAGCAGAGAGTCAAGCAAAAAAGGAATGACAAAAACAGAATATTGTTGGTCCCTAAGGAAATATCACAGCAAATGGGTCAAAAAGATAAGACCAGTTAGTCATCAGATAGAACAGGCTAAGGACAAAAATGATGACTGAGCAGAATTTTATCTTTAGCTCTGTGACCCCTTTCCCTAAGGGGAAAAAGGTCTACTCATATCTCCCTCACTATAGGTTGAAGTTATGGGTATAAACCAAAGAATACTGTGAAAACTCTTTAAAAAGTTTTTGTCATGGGCGCCTGGGTGGCTCAGTCAGTTAGGCGTTTGACTTCAGCTCAGGTCATGATCTCGCGGTTCATGAGTTCGAGCCCCGTGTCGGGCTCTGTGCTGACAGCTCAGAGCCTGGAGCCTGCTTCGGATTCTGTGTCTCCCTCTCTCTCTGCTCTTCCCCTGCTCTCGCTCTGTCTTTCTCTCTCTCTCTCTCTCAAAAATAAATAAACATTAAAAAAACTTAAAAAGTTTTTATCACAACTTGGAATACAGCAGATAAAACTCACCACCACCACCAACAAAACTCACTGTATTAGAAGAATGTCTACCACACTGTATGAAATGTTTGCAAGGAAAGAATACATATGTAATGTGTGCGTAGAAAAATGTGAAGGGCAGACATAGAAATTTAACAGTAGATAGTGATTGGCGGCAGGTAGAATTCAGGATGATTTCCTCCTAGCTCTCTTTTTACTACAATTAACAGATATTATTATGCAATAAAGTTCGTAAAAATTCAAACACTGAGGGGCAATTTATAAGTTTGAGTGAGTTACCTGGATAAGCTATAGTCAGACATTGGCAGCTCAGCTCAATGCCTTTGTACAATATTTACAACCATACACGAATTCAGTAAAGCAGGCAGAGCAAATATTTTATTCCTTGTTATAGGAAGGGGAGATTAAAGCAAGAGAAGTGACTTGTCCAATATCCAGTCAGCCAGCTCTGGCCAGAGACCAGAACCCATGCCTTCTGAATTCCTGGTTCAGGCTTTCTGCCACACAGTTCTACATTGAGACTTTATTCTTTTTTTTTTTTTTTTTTTTTTTTTTTTTTTTTTTTAATTTTTAACGTTTATTTATTATTGAGAGACAGAGATAGAGCATGAGCATGAGAGGAGCAGAGAGCAGGGGAGACACAGAATCTGAAGCAGGCTCCAGGCTCTGAGCTGCCAGCACAGAGCCCAATGCGGGGCTCGAACTCACGAACTGTGAGATCATGACCTGAGCTGAAGTCGGACACTTAACCAACTGAGCCACCCAGGTGCCCTGAGACTTTATTCTTAATGAAGTACATGCCCAATTTTATACTGCACGGCCAAAACTTTAAAGTTTTAACACATAAGAGGCAGTACCCAGGCCGAGTCCCGGCGACTTTGCCTTACTCAGATCAGACACTGCCCTATGTCCTCCTGAATGTTATTCTAAAATAACAGCCTTCCTGTGACAGATACCAAGCCTGTCACACTAAGAGAAGAGGAAAACCAGTCTCCGAGATGTAGGGATTCGGCAGAACAGTCTGCAAAGCTGACCTCTGACACTTATGCCATTTGTCAAATAGGGCTCACTCACCCATTCACTTACTCATTCATTCATTCACCCAGTTGGCCAGAGTCTCCTGGACACCCACTCTGGCAAAAAGCATGCTGGATGCTCTGAACGCAGCAGGACAGGACAAAGCCTCTATCCTTGGTGAGCATGCTGCCGGCTAAGGGATGAACCACCTAAAAGCCTAAGAAACCACCCTTAGCATTCTGTACCTAACACTGCTAAAATTCAAAAATGGATTGAGTAGTGGATTTTCCCCCAAAAAGTGAGGAAACAGGAAGCCCTGAATCCAATAAAAGTTTAAAAACCTAACAGTGTCTTAGTCCAGTGCTTCTCCAACCTGACCGTGACCCACATCCTCTGGAGATCTTGTTAGGATGCAAATTCTGATTCAGGAGGCCTGGGCTGGACCTGAGTCTCTGCATTTCTAACGAGCTACAGGTGATGTCTAGGACTATATTTTGATGCAACAGCGTTCTTCATTAACCTTGGCGGGCTCTAGTTCACCTCTGGCCCAAAGTCTCATGACCTGAGGCTACTCTTTCCCCGCCACCCCCTCCAGGGTGATAGCCCCTCCAGGAACTCAATTCTTAACGTGTAACCCGAGTTGGTCCTAGATCCGCATTTCTTTAGCACCACGCAAGGTCTTCCACAGGTGAACGGGGAACCATGATAAGATGCCCCAGATTTGTGTTTAAGCTTATTCAGAAATGGCCATGCTTTTTGTTTGTGCTTGTTTTAGAGTGAGAGAGGGCAGGAGCAGAGGAGGGGGACGGTGAGGGGAGGGAGAGAGAGAGAGAGGGAGAGGAAGGGAGAGAGAATCTCAAGCAGGTTCCATGCTCACTGTAGAGCCTAATGTAGGGCTCAATCCCACGACCCTGGGATCATGACCTGAGCTGAAATCAAGAGTCGGATGTTCAACTGACCGAGCCACCCAGATGCCATAGTTGGTCTGTTTTTTAGTATGGTATATGACAGATGAAGTCAGAGAACAGATGAGGGCAGCAGACTGCCCAGGCGGCCATCCTGGTACCCAAACCAGCTGGCCTATTAATGTATTAATGTGCACATGAGGACATTCTCCCAAGTCCTCTGGACCTGATGGGGGCTCGCCACAGGGCTGGGAGGTAACGGCAGAGGTGACAGTGACGACAGAGATGACCCCCCCAGGAGCTCTTTGACCCCAAGCTTGCCAGGCGGCCTCCTCACTGCAGTTAAGCCTCCCTGGGAAGCCTTCCCCCGGGCCAGCAGCTGGCACCTTTCTTCTCTAAAAAGCTGGACAGAACTATTTTACCTTGCAGATCGCACCATCTCCCTCAAAACTGTCCGGCTCTGTCGCTGTCCTGTGCGCACAGCCAGAAACCATACATAAACCAGTGGGCATGGTGATGTTCCAATAAAACCAGGGCCAGGTCTCTCTGACCCGCCCCAGGGAGCGAGAATATACTCCCAGCCAGCCCACATGACGTGACGGGCACAGCGGCCGGTTCTTATCATCTTCCATCGGCAGTCATTAAGCGGGCTCTCTGGTGGGCACACCAGTCTCTTCCAAGTTTGGTTCACGTGACTTAATCACAAGGAGGCTCATTCCTCTGGAGGCCCTGCCATGTGACTTTTTCCCTTCATGTTTAGGGACAAAAAGAATATATAAAGGGACGCCTGGGTGGCTCAGTAGGTTAAGCATCCGACTCTTGATCTTGGCTCAGGCCATGATCTCACGGTTTGTGAGACGGAGCCCCTGTGTCGGGCACTACGAGGACAGCATGGAGCCTGCTTGGGGTTCTCTCTCTCGCTCCCTCTCTGCCCCTCCCTCTCTCTCTCTCAAAATACATTAAAAAAACAAAAAAAAAACAAAAAAACCCAGAATCAAGAAGTTGGCCTGACTGTGAACCCTAGAAGGGACACCACCAGCTTAACTGCCTATATTGGCAAACAACACAGCAGGTACTGAAAAAGCACCGCCAGGTTATTTTTACAAATTCAAATTCATTTGTCATTCTTCTACTAATACACTAGCATGCTACCCCTCAGTGGGGAAAAGTGCTTTGTTAATATGCAAGTGACATTTTCATAGCTAACATTTGGCAACGGTTCCTGTCTGCGATTTTTTGTTGTTGCTGTTTCTTATAAACACGCAGTACGGTTCCTTGAACAGAATGGCAAGTTAAAGGCCTCACAGTATGACACTGATGGAAAGTATCACTTAAAAAAACAAGTGTTAATACCATTTGGGGAAACATATTGGGGTCTAGAATGAAGATGAGTAACATAAGCTTTCCACTGCCTTCAGCAAGAACACGTCTCAAAGCAACCAGCCTCACCCAGCCATTTCCTGATCAGCAATACTCTTGACAAAGTCCAAGCATCAGGCAAAAGTCACAAATAATCTCGCGACATGCCTGTGATTCTTGTTCTGTCAAAGAGAAAAGTTCACGAAGGCAAAGTAAATGATCCCTACTGAACTAGCTCTTCAGGATGGCTATATTTTTTTAGTTTATTTATTTATTTTGAGAAAGAGATAGAAAGTGAGTTGGGGAGGGGCAGAGAGAGAGAGAGAATCCCGAGCAGGCTCCACACTGCCAGCACAGGGCCCAATGCAGGGCTTGAACTCATGAACCGTTAGATGATGACCTGAGCCGATACCAAGAGTCAGACACTTAAGTGACTGAGCTGCCCAGGCACCCCCATGATGGCTATTTTTACAGTCCGACCCACCCACCCATCCATCCAACAAACACAGCACAGAACGGCGAACCAAATGACAGAATCCTTCACTGAGCTGACATTCTAGTGGGAAGACACACGACTGAAATCCACACGTTGTCAGGGGGGATGACCATCAGGAGCAAATATAAGGCAGGAGGCAGAGTCCAGTAGAAGTGGGAGGCATTATTTTTCAAAAGGGAAAGACTTGTCTACGGCCACACCACCCTAAACGCACCCGATCTCGTCAAAAGGGAAAGACTTTAAGGAAGTGAGGAAGCCCACCCATTCTAATGGCAAAATGTGTCCTCTACAGAGGGCTGTCGAGTTAAATCAGCCACGGCACACACTTGCGATGGGGCACTGTTTTAACCTGTTTTAAAACAGTGGAAAGATCTCCAAGGGGACTGTAGTGGGGATGTGTTTAGTCTGCTAACCATCTGTGGGGAGAAAATGACACAGACGCGTGTTACCCCTACCAGAGGAGAGAAGGTCTCCCCTACAGAGACACGTGTTCACATGCTGCACAGGGCGGCACAGTGGGATGCTTGCGGGTTTCTGCAATGAGCCGCGCCATGTTCACTCCACCCAATCCTCGCGAAAGCCTGTGAGCCAGTCTCATCGCTCTATTCAGAGCTGAGAAAAGCGAGGCCGGACAGGGAGACAAATGAGCTGGTAAGCGGCAAGCCTGGGGCTGACACACAG